CACGCACTTCTTGTGAGATGAGGTCCGAGGATTTTCGATTGGATTAGTTTCAGTGTTGACGTATCATTCAGGTACAGGAGAACTTTCAGAATCAGAAGACTCCCTACGAGCGACACATAATTTCAATCCCACGCCTACGACAAACGCCTCGGACCCTGAACTTCATCTCCATCACCATACTTCTTTACCGAACGCATCTCTATCGAAGGCACAAGCAGAGGCGAACGAACCGGACTCAATCAGGAGCAGCACCGACGCAAATCCGGAAACCAAAGCAGAGGTAGGAACCAACCAATCATCTGAAGCTAATGAATCCCGCGCTGCGAGGGTCGATGAATTACAGGAAGAAGAGCAATTAAGTTCAGACGAGGCGGATGAAAGTGCAATAAACAGTACCGATCTAGACAGCAGCCCATCGACAGAACCGACAGAATACACAACCGACAACAACTTGGAAACTTCTCTCGGAGCGGTCATCACTGAAAAACCAATTGTTATCTCGAAACGTTCATCACCCCGAGTCGCCATGTCTACCGAAGCCGAGGCCGTACCAGTTGAGCCCCCAGTGGTGCCAACGGGGGAGATCCCTGCCGATGGCGCACCCGCCGACGCTGCTCCCACGCTTGCCGAGGGGAATGCCGAGCCGAAATCAGAGCCTGCTGTAGCACCCGTAGAGGGGGCCGAACCGACGCCGATAGACCCGAATCAGTTACCGAATGGAACAGAGGAGCGAATAACGACAGAACAGAATGGATTGCCGATTGAACAGCCAATAGAAAAGCAAGGGAAGGATGTTAAGAAGAGGGGGAAGAAGGACGAAGCGGGAGAAAAGGAGGATCGGAGAAGGCATCGACATGAAAAAGGAGAGCGGGATGATGGCAAGCGCGACAAAAGTGATCGGGATAGGGGAGAGCGTGAACGTGGGGACAAGGCAGACCGTAGGAAAGAAAGAGGAGATCGGGAGAAAGGAGACAGGGACAGAGGGGAAAAGGAGAAGGGAGATAGGGAACGGGGTGCAAAGGAAAAGAAGGAAAGGGATAGGGGTGACCGAGAAAGGGGCGATCGCGAGAGGAGAGAGAAAGGTGATAAGGAGCGTGGGGATAGAGAAAAGAGAGGAGATAAAGATAAGAGAGACCGTGACAGAGGAGGACGGGAAAAGAAACACCGTGAACGTGGTGAACCGGATGCCAGCGAGGCAGAGAACGATGGCAAAGATAAAAGCGGTCGACAAAGGAAACAGCGTGACCGTGGTGAGCAGGAGAACTGCGAGGAAGCGAACGACCTCAAAGGGAATGCACTTGTTGATAAAGCGGATAATCAGACTGGGGAATCTAATGGAGATAATCAGCATGGAGAGCCACTCAGCACAATCAAAGAGGAAGGTTCTCACGAAGGAGGGGATCCACCGGCAGAAATCGATGCAGCAGCGGCGGAACCCCAAGACCCCAACTCCCCCGAAGAAGCCGAGCGCCTCAAAGCCAAAGCCAAGGCCGCCCGAAAAGCTGCCAAGCTAGAACAACAATCCGAAGCCGACTCCGCTGAACAAGAACGTCTCCGTCAAGACAAAGCCGCCCGCAAATTGACGAAGCAGCAGGAAGCTGAAAGACAAGGCAAGAAGTCAAAGAAAAAATCAAAGGAAGACGAAGTTCGTGAAGCTCGTGAGAGTGAGAGGATTGAGCTTCCACCACAGGTGCACATCCCTGATGATCTTCTTGAAATCCCAGGCGAGGCTGTGGATAACGTCCCGCCTCCAGATGAAACACATGATGTTAATGGATATGCGGGGGAAAAGAAGGGTCGAAAACATGGCCATGGCAAACGCCATGATACGAACGGCGATGAAGATGCGGCGAATAAGAAGAAGAAGAGGGATAAACATCATCGAGATCGAGGGCAAGAGAATGAGGAGGAGGAGGAGCCGCCTACGGATGAGGCGGAGAGGGCTGAATGGAAACAGAGGAGGGAGGAGAAGAAGAGGATGGAAGAGGAACGACGATTGCAGGAGGAAGAGGAAAAGGCCAGGCTGGAAGAAGAGAGGAAACAGCTAGAGGAGGAGCAACGAAAACGAGACGAGGAAAAAGAAAGGTTGAAAGCTGAACTTCGTAGGATTCGGGAAGAAGAAAAAGAGCAGGAGCGACTTAAAAAAGAGGAAGCGGAGAAGAAACTTAGCGAAGAGGAGGAGGAGAAACGCAGGATCAAGGAAGAAAAAAGGCTTCGGAAACTGAAAGAGGAAGAAGGGCGAAAGGCCGAAGAGGAACGGATAAAGAAAGAGCAGGAGAAGGAAAAACGTCGAAAGCAAAGGGAAAAAGAGGAGAAGGAGAGGGAACGTCGGGAGGAAGAGGAACGCCGAAAGAAAGAGGAAGAGAAGGAGAGACGACGGCTGAAAAAGATAAAAGAAGAGGAGGAAAGGGTACGTGTTGAGGAAGAGGAAAGGAAGAGGAAGGAGAAAGAGGAGCGTCGAAGGCGGAAAGAAAAAGAAGAAGCAGAACGCAGGGCAAGAGAAGAAGAAGAAAGACTGGAACGAGAAGCGGCAGAGCGTAAAGCAAAGGAGGAGGAAGCAGCTAGGCTTTTGGAGGAGGCACGAATTCGAAGGGAGAAGTTCGAGGAAGCAAATCGGATTAGGATGGAGAAGGAAAAGGAAGAGCGCCGTCTAGCGAAGATTAAGAGAGAGGAAGAGAAGAAAAGGCGTGAGGAGGAAGAGAGAATACGACAAGAAGAGGAGAAGGCACGCAAAGAAGAAGCGAGAAAAAAACGGAAAGAGGAGGAGGAACAGCAGAGAAAGGCCGAAGAAGAACGACGAAAAAAGAGAGAGGAAGAAGCAAGACTTAGGAGAGAAGAAGAGGAGCGAATAGCAAAAGAAGAAGAAGAGAGGAGGGCCCGTGAAAAGGAAGAAAGGAGAAAAGAGAAGGAGGAGCGGAGGAGGCGAAAAGAAGAAGAGAGGATTCAAAAGGAAGAGGAAGAAAGGCAGCAAGCTGAAGCAGCTAGAATTAAGATGCAAGAAGAGGCGGAAATAGCTCGCCAGAAGCTTGAGGCCATGGCTAAAGCAAGGGAGGAGCAAGAGGAACAGGAGCGTCTTCAGAAACAGCAAGAAGCCGCTCAACAGGAAGCTGCGGCAAAGGAAATGGCCGACAACGCGGCCGCTGATCAGGAAGCTGCTCAACAACAGGCAGAGGCAGCAGCTCAGCAAGAAGCCGCACAACTGGAGGCCACGAATATGGCCGCACAGCAGGATGGTACTATTGCTCTGGAAGAGCAGGCAGCTCCAGTCGATATGCAGCAGCAACTTGACGGGCAGCCCGATGTCGCGGAGACTCGTGAGTCCAAGAAGCACCGGAAGAACCGAGATGGAACCGATGACCTAAAGTTCAAATCCCGCCGCGGCGAAGAAGGCGAATCCCGACACCGCAAACACCGAAGCCACCAGGCTGACGCCAGTGCCGAAAAAAGCCGGCGCCGCAAGTCAAAGACAGACAAGTCCGACCGACTACGCGTAGACCGACCCACCGAAGACAGTCACCGCCGCAAAGACGGGGAAAGGGAGAAAGACAAGAAGGACCAGAAAAGCAAAGACCGAGGAGAAAAGGAAAAGTACAAAGACAGGAAGAGATCAAGGCATGATGAAGACCGCGAAGCCCGGAATTCACGGAAAACATCTTCTCGGAAGGAAGGGGCTGTTCCTGTACCGCCGCCGGCCGAACAGCCTGTAGCACAACCGGTTGAACAGCAACAGCCTACGCAGGAAGAGGTAGTGCCAGAGGAAGCTCATCTGCAAGCCCCCACGATGGATCCCTCAGCGCAAGAACTCGAACATGCACAGCGAAAGGCTGAGCGGAGAGCCGCAACTCGGGAGGTACTGGCAGATACCACCGCCAACTCGGTTAATTCTGAAGAACGACGCGAGCACCGGAGTAAGAAGAAGAAGGACAGAGGTCTTTCTAGTCCTGAGGATGAGGCGGAGTATCGGGCGAGGAAGAAAGCGAAACGAGGAGAGAAAGGCTCTGAGGGTATTCAAGCATCTGGGGAGAAGAAAAGTAGGGACAAGCGGGACGGACGTGACAAGGGTGATAAGAGGGACAGAGAAAAGGTTGAGAAAGTCGAGAAGCGGGATAAAAGTTCGAGGGAGAAGAGTGATAAGAAGGACAGGCGTGACAAGACGACTTCGAAGGAAAAAGATGACAAGCGTTCTAAGAGAAAGTCAGTAAAAGCACCGTAGACCGGTTAAGAAGAGCAGATGGGAGAGCATTTGAAATGGTTCAGGCGGAAGAGGACGGAGCTGGTGATGGATATTCGGAGTACGGAACAACAAAAGGTAGCGGGTGCGCTATGCTACAGGGGTCGAGCATTTCTACGGCGGGTAACCGTGCGGTTCGTGCTGCGTTTACCGTCGCGCAACAAGGCCTTCAAAACGATGCATTCATTTTATGTGTGAATTACTTCATCGCCGACTTCATTTCATTTTCTCATAGGCGTCATCTGGAGTTAAAACTGTTTCCTTAATTTCATGGACATTAAGAAGAACCTTCGACTGTGTGTAACCCCTGCATATCGTGTGATACAGTGTGAACCAAGTCACAAGTCTAAGTTCATAGAACAAGTTACAAGCGTGACGGATCAAAACAGCATTAGGTAGAGTATCCAATTGATCTACCATAGCAAAGTAATTCAAGTAGATATTTAAAGGGGTGAAACAGAGAGGGATCAAGACAACACCGCGAGAAAGTGTAAACGAGTGATCTGGTGTGTTTAGGTCCGTTGTAAAGAGCACTTTAGCCCACCTTTGCTAGTATCGAAGGTGATCAACAGTTCAAGCCAGTTAGATAATCCCATAGACCGTTCGCAGTTTGTCGTGTGAAAGCGCCGGTTAATGGATGAGGCTCAAAGTCACCGTCCCATGGCCGAGTGACACGCTATGTACTCGTGATGCAAAAATCCGTTTTCCGTCCCCTTTTCATCACCTGCCCACGAACTGGCCAATGAGAAAATTGCAGCAGCAAACAGAATGCCCGTGGCTGAAGTTGAACCAGCTATCTTGCCAGATCTAAGCCAGAGCCGCTCCTGCCATCAGCGGCTAGTACTAGGTCCGTTAGGAGTGGGACATGATACCACTACACCACTCGGGCATTTGTATGCTGTGTTTATACTAAAACTAATACATATTCTCTTTAAAAAAGTTTCAATAAGCACGTGACACCACTTATCCTTGTTTTGGCAGCTCAACTTGCACTTGACGTGAAACCTCCACAACCTGGGCCAACCCTGCCCACTTCACGCACGTAAACTGATGATAATCACAACCAAAACACCCACTGAAAATTGCGTTACTTACATAAAAATAAAGTGCACGGCTCAATTAACACCGGCTCGCCAATAAAAGCGTGTGTGATAAACAGCACCTACGAAGTACCTAACAGAACAATAAGTAGCTTTGTTAACTTTTCGCGTACAGCACGCCTATGGAAGGACACCATCGCGTCTTGCCTGTTTATGTTGAAACTGTGCGAAATATCCACAATCATGATATAACTCGACTGCAATACGGCCTGTCATGCTCTCTGATGTTTATCCATTGCATATCCACGTAACATACATTTACCAATCGCTAGCAGCTTAGAACACACTTAAAACATACTTTTACACTATGTGATTATCCGATTGAGTGATATCTCATTTAACACATCTCTGCTGGCGAGCTGTTTTGCATTCAAGATTAGCGCCCCACCGGGTCTCCAATGGACATATCAAAGCGGTAACGTCAAATAATAACCCATGATCACAGATTAACGTGTAACACATCTAACGTTGTCGAATGGAAATTAACTCGCGGATCCTCGTCGCGGCGATAACCTTGAGTGATGCCGTGTGAACATGCATGCTTCCGCGATAGAATTTTATCAAGGGCGGCTTTGGTCGGTTATATATAGATTTATGGTCCTTATTAGATTTCTTCCTTCTTCTTCTCTTGTACACCTCTCTTCTACCTCCTACCTATACACAAAAACCACTCGGTGCTCGGTCTCCATCAACTCTATCAACTCACGCGAGTCCTCAACGATCAACACTCGCTTTATTTATAGCGGGGATCGAAGCTATTCGCATGCGGAATCAAAGACGATAAATAATCGGATACAAGAAGTAAGTTTTCTCCCCCTACCACCTGACGCGTCTGACGCGTCTGCTGGAGACGCGAGTGCTGTTGCTGACGAAAACCGCGAAATAGAATCACCTTCAGATGAACCAATATCGGTGACAGCCACAGAAAAAGCCCACTTGGGTCTTGGGCAATTTGGAGGGTTTATGTTTCCAATGTCGTGGGGGTCGTGATGTTCGAGTTGTCAACCATGAATGGGTTTGAACATCGACCACAGCAAACCTCAAGGCATTGTAATATTCCATTACAGCCCAGGTTCTAAAGGCACAGCCCAGCAATGCTCTGCCAGCTGTTTCTACTCCCTGATTTCCCTCCCCGTTCTTCCTCCCTCCTTGTCGAACGCCCAGCCAACTCTCATCACGACGACTTTCTGATCTCTCTCGGGAAACCGTCCGACATCTACCTTCGTCTTCTCTGACATCGCAATCACGATGTCAAACCCCTCATCTTGCCTCTCTGTCCCGGCCGTTGGCGCTCCTCCTTCTGCCTCTCTCCCGGCCTCCTCTTCTGTGGCCCCTTTTTCTTCTCCGGTTCATGTCTCCTCTGCGGTTCTGGCCGAGGCACCAGCTGCTGCTCCTTCTACGAGTTCCGTTTTTGTCCTCTCTCCTGCGCCCCTCCCGACTCAGATGAGGACACTGCAGCTCGCTGGTCTCCCAACAGATGGGACCGTGATTTTCGACCGGCTCTCCATGGCAGAACTTGCGGCTGCTGTTGACGATCTTTGGCTAGCTACCCAGATGTTGAGCGGCATATTGTTGCTGCTCACATCCGGCGTCAGTGCCACAAGATGAGGAATGAGAAGAAGCGTCAAGCAGACCGTCAAGCGAAGGCTGTAAGTTCCCCTCAAGATTAAAGGATGGAGTTCGAGGATGAAAGCTAATTTGGGGGATAGGCGGCTGTTCGCGCTGCTTCTGCTGCTGCCGCTTCCGATGCAACTGTTTCTGCCGCCGATATTTCTGGATCCGCCGCCTCTGCCGCCGTCGCTGTTGTGCCTTCCGTTACTCCTGCTCTCCCAGCTACTCCAAAGAAGCTAGAGAACGATGATGTGATGAAGATGCTATCTTCACCAATCAGAGCCTCGTAAGTTCTTTAATACTATCTCCAATCACTCTTGGTGATACGATACTAATCGATGAAAATTGAAGTCTGCTATCGAGATCACATCCATGTGCGAAGGCGGAGGGGATTCCTAAGGTCAACCAGAACTTATAATTGGGCAACGGGCTAAGGCCATTTGGTGTGATGGTCGCTAGGCGTTGGGTGTACCTTGTTGGGAGCTTTTGGCTATGTTTGGTTCTTCTTTTGTTTTGTCCGCGGTTGGTATGTTCTGCGCATGTCTCGTTCGCTGTTTCAAGCATCGAGTTCACGCGAGAGCTTCCAACCAATATTACTTATGGGGGAACGTTAGCACTAGCGGTAGCTGTATGGGGCCTGTTTTGTATTTTGCTCTTTGTTTTGTACTGTTCTTTTCTTTCTTTCCGCTCGTCTCGGAGCACGGTTAGAAATGAGTAAATCAGAGAATCTTCTCCTTTAACTACAAATACCTTACCGCGCCATTACTCTAGATGTCCAGACAGACAATGTGACCTGTATAGCGTAAAGGATATAAGACTGGACATGAAAAATTTATTCTCTCGCTGCTGGCCACTCTACAATAGTGGTCCACATAGATCGCTATAGATGTAAGGCGGGCGCTTCAGTTACGTATTATCGGTGGAGATTCACGCATGAACCAAGATTATTTGATCTCAAACCATTGCATCGCCACGCAAAATTGACACGCGCAGAAAAGACACTCAGTTCGATACAAGCGTGGGCATCGCGTACGGTTCCAAAATAATCAATAGATCAGAGTGATCACACATGTAGCAGAGCAGTAAAGCATACTTGTATCCCGCAAGTCTCAGAACGGATCAAGAAGAAAACAAACATTGTGAATAACGTAGCTGCATAGTTCAAAAGGCGATGATTAATGGCGCCAGCTCGCGAGACCGATGAAGCTCAACCCCGCAGGCACATCCGAGTGATATACCATGTATCCGCCTCCCCAAAACGCCGTGATCCGTGAATCCCCAACCACAATGCAGCCAATAGCAAAAAGCAGAAGCAGAACAGCAAAAATAATGCCCGCGGCTGGAATTGAACCAGCCATCTTCCCAGATCTAAGCCAGGGCCGTTCCTGCCATCAGCGGGTAGTACTAGGTCTGTTAAGAGTGGGATGTGATACCACTACACCATGCGGACGTTTGTATGCTCTGTACTTAATAAAACTAATACATATTTTACCAAAACCTGTACTGCAATGGCATATGATTGGATGATTAGCACTCGAGACGGATCTGATAATGATCGCTAGTACAGCACGTTTTCCCAAGACGACTTCTCCTCCACCACGATTATCGCACCACAGCACCGCTACACAACACAGAGTTAGTTATAGCATGCTATGCTAAAACACCCCGCGCCTTTGCACAATTTTACAGCATTGTCCGGTACCTAGGTATTATTTATCTCCCCGCAACCCAACGACGCCCCCTCTACAATGTACTAACAGATATAAGGAACCTCTCGTCAACCTCCATCTCAATGCTTCAACCTTTATCAAGCTTTGACAATCTCCTCAATAAATTCCCTTAGCTCCATCCCGCCTAATCTAACCCTCCTTTCTCAATCGCCATCCATGCTCACCTTACCGTGACACATGCTTTGTCTCGGCAGCTGAACTAGCATTCGCACAAAACGTGTACAATCCTCAACCCTTTAATGTTCACGCGCGCAAACCGATCACGAACTAGCACGCCAGCCGAAGACTGAAACGGACCACATCTCACAACCTCATTCTGATCATACAACAATCGCCCGAGTGGTATAGGGAGCGGGATCGATGGTGGACAGACGTACGCTTCGTATTCTGTAAGGTGGTTAGTTCTGACTGTAAATAACACAAGAGGAGATGTAAACCTTAAATCATTGTTCCTAACGAATGGTCATCGGGATCAGTACTACTAGCCTCTCATGCGTAGTATTTTAGTCGTATCGGAATACGGACCGAGGTTGACCGCCATCGTCCGATCAGAGAGACTCTTTGATAACTTTTCCACCATCTGCCTCTATATTGGCATCGTCAGAGCAGTAATCCATCACGTTGGGTGGCAAATCTTTCCAAGCACCATGGATAGACATTTCGATATTGCCTAGTGGTAGAGTACAAGATGGGTCAATCGGTAAGTTGTAAAAAGTGGACGTTTGTAGGACACTATTAGCATTGTGCGTTCGAATCGTAGAGAAGGATGACATAACAATCAAGTAGCATACTTAGAATGGAAAAAAGAAAATAGGTACCTCCGGTGGGGAGTCAACGGCAATCATCAGACACAGGTAAAAGATACCTGGAGTGATGGAGGAGAGGTGGAGTTCTGGGTGTATTGCTGGGTAGAAAGAGAAGCTCTGATAACAGTCCGGCGGAGGGTGTACATATGGCCTGGAGCTCTCGCTATGCTTTCTCCGATTCACCCGCTTACCCAGGGAACCCTGCCTCTATGCCTATCTCTACCTCTACCGGTAAATTTGCCCGACTCTTCTCCTCCCTTCCCTACTTACTTGCTTTCCTGTAATGCGCATATGGCGGTGTTCTCGAATTTTCCGCGATTGGGAACAGCAGTGTTCCTGGGCAACGCCCATGCGTGCATAGCATAGACGCGAGACAACTTTCGGGCCAATACATTTTGATACATTTGTGCTTGAACCGGAAAATGAACGGTAAGATTTGCATACATAAATCACCAGCAAAATATGCGTAGTTCCAACATAACGACTAATTGCACAGTATACTTAGATCATTACTGGCCAGCACCAGGACTCTGTATACATAAACCCTGTTATAGCCTTTGGGGTTCGCATAAATTATCCAGTTCATACTTTTTCCGCCTCCTTTTAGACATCCAAGATAAAATGACTTATCCACATGCTCAT